CACACACACACACACACACACACACACAGAAAAATAATTACCACCGTAGCGAGCTAACACTTTCATCATGTCAGATAATTACCATTGCTTTTCTGTGGTGAGAACACTAAAGATCTAATCCCTTAGCAACTTTCAAGTATATAATAGAGTGTCTGCCGTTTCTTTAACACATCATTCTTCCATGCAGTGTGGACAGCTATATCCTTCTCATTCACCCATTCAAGATTTACTGTGCTTTTACACTGGGCTGAACTGGGCCAGACCCTGGAGATATAGAATTAATTAAAACACAAAACTAGAGCATAATTCACCACTCTTTAACTATGGGCTGTGCATAGTGACTTCATTCTAAAAAGTACAATATTATGGAAAATGGAAGAAATAAGCAACTGCACAGTGGAGAGGCCTGGCAAGCCAGCCGACCCAGGTCAGCACCAGCAGTGGTAAGGCCTGGTGATAGCACATACCCTCGAACGGATGTGATGAAAATGGTACTTTACCTCTGCGGTCTTCCTCCTAAAACCCCTAGTCCAATGCTAACGATGAGAAAAAGACATCAGAAAAGTCACAACAGAAGGACATTCTTCAAAACACCTGACCAGTCCTCCTCAAAACTGCCAGGGTCATCAAAACCAAAAACAGTCAGAGAAACTGCCACAGACCATGAGAGCCTAAAGGGGACATGATGACTCCATGGCCTGTGGCATCCTAGATGGGAGCCTGAAATGGGAAAGGAATATTAGGCAAAAACTAAAGAAATGTCAATAAAGGATGGGCTCTAGTTAATAGTAACGTAGCAACATGGGTCCATCAATGGTAATGCACCCTAGGAATAGGAGATGCTAATGGAAACCGAGTGTGGGTACATGGGAACTCTGTTCTATCGTTCTTTTCTGGGATTCTAAAACTGTTCTGAAATAAAACACTTATTTATTTATTTTTAATGGGAAGAATGTTCATGAGAGAGAAGCACAGTGAGCAAGGGCTGTGGTACAGTGCTGCAAGTGGTGTGTGGCAGTCAGTAGCCCTCGGTCTGCAAGGTGTGAGGAGGCGGACTGTGACGCGGTGGGTAGTGGCCAGGGCAGTGGACCCTGAGGGCCACATGTGCACAGCTAGAGAAGGCGAAAGATGCTTGTGCATCAGAAAGTCCTGGGTGAGATCAGCACAGCCAGCACCGATGAGCAACGTTCTCATAACAACCAAGAGTCGAGGTTGGTGCTATGGTCGACCTAGATAAGGAATTAGCATACCGTTCCACAAAATTCTCTCTTTTAATATGAACCTCCATAAACACGCTTTCATAGAATAATGGATCTGAAAGAATATTTGAATGCAATATATTATTCTTTCAGATTCCTGATTCTATGAAGCTTCCTCTTTAACTGCCCCTACTCTCTCGTTTCCTGCATTCTGCAATTTTCACACTGAAAAAGATGAAGAATGATAGTGAAAAAAATTCTGATGGTAGCTTAGGGAAAATTCGTAAAGGGTTGGAGAAGCAAGAAATGGAATAATTCAAAGAAATACAAAGGGGGCTAAATAATTTAAATACACCCTGTGAAGTAAAAATACGTCTTCATTTTTTTCAAAAATAAAAAGGTTAAAAAAGGAAAAGAAAAATGAAAAAATTTCCAGTGTTTTAAAAGAATCCCAGGGTCAGAGAATACAGCCCTACAGTTTATCTGCCTCCCTGGTAACCGCAGGCAAAGCGAGCTGAGAACACCTAGAAACGATCATGTGCTCTGCAAAGGATGACCCCAGTCAAACTAGGTAAACAGAGAGGAGCCGTAGGAATCCATTTCTTGTCTTTGTGTAACCCTTTCTTAGCTTACAAAGCATTTTCACACATATTATCTCATGGAATTCTAAGGAAAACACAAAGTAGACATAACAATTATTAATCATCTAATTTTACAGATGAGAGACCTTCAGTGACCTGCGTAGGTCTCCCCTCGTCACCCCCTGGCACTGAGGGAGCTGGGACCACAGCACACGTCTGGTTGTCAGGTTGTGCTGGTTTTCACCGTGTGCCCAGATGAACACGACAGGCACACGCAGAGGAAGACTTCGTGCTGATAATCAAATGCCAATATGGATCATTACCCCAAAACACACATATATGAACATGTAAACATTTACAGTAGTCTTCTGTTCTCATGACTGTTATAAGGACAGGTATTGCATAAGAAATATTAAAGAACTGATCAAAGAGCTAGAAAGAAACTTAAAAGCACAAAAGCTTTTTAGTTTGACCTTAAGTTAGTTATTCTTAGACTAGAAATGGGGGAACTAAAGCAGGTAATATATAGACCTTCAAAAAAAAAAAAAAAAAAACGGAACATTTGGATCATTATGTGCTTTTCAGAAACAACTGAGCAGGAAAGGAAGGACAAACAATGTTACAGAAACCCGTACCGAACACTTGTGAGAAAGTGGTCTAAATTTATATCGTCGAAAAACATGACTCAAGGAGACATAATCACTGCCTATAAATATCCTTCAAGCAACAATATGCATGGTAAATAAAGTAAGTGAATTATACATAACCTTAGGTCCAGGTCATTTCTCTTTGTCCGGTTGTCTAGGGAAGACAATGCTTTACCTTTGAGCGGGTGTCCTCCTCAGAAACTAAAACAGCCAAAAAGATCTCAAGGCGGGGTCCCTGGAGGTACGCAGGTGTAGGGCTGAAGGACCATGGGGAGTGGCCTCCAGTGGCCCTCCACATCAACAATTAGACTGGATAGTCACATCCCTCAATAGGGTATTTTTATTTCTCCCTTACCTTTGAAATGGAATAATAAAGAATAGAATCAAATCCAAAAAAAGCTTTTGGTTACTGGACTGCTTGATTGAAAGGAAAAATGGACTCTGAATGCTCAAGTCCGCTGTGAAGTGCTCTGCTTTGATGGCAGGGACAGCATGGCACCGAATGTCATGAAAAGCATACAGGTTTGCAAAGTCAAAGACACCGGATCAGGGCTCTCATCGCAAGCCTGTCACAGACCCTGCTGTGCTACAAGCTTTCTCATGGCCATAAGGTGATCGTGTTCGTCTTCCTGTTACATCACAGTGTAGATACCAGAGCATTTTCAAGACCACGGCAGCTTCCCACGTGCAAATTATTACCAATGATGATCATTATTGTGACTCTCCCAGATGCTGTGCTTCAAAAACACCCTTTTCCACAAATCTTTCTTCCACATGATAGTTTTCTCCCTTTTACTTTTTTCTAGGTTTTCTGATTAAGTCTCATGAGCTCCTTATGCCACTAGTTATTTCAAAAGACCTATCTGGCCCCAGCACTTGGGGAAGCCTAAATTGCCTGAACTGCAGCAGAAATGACCTGGGCAGGCCCCTGCGGTGTACCATAGCCCTGGTAAAGCGACAGTGAGAACATCAGGAGCTTTCTAGACACAGCATGCTGCTCATTTCATCCACAGACCCACCAAGTCCCAGCAACATTCATTCACTGTCTTCCCAAGGACAATTTTCCTAGCCTTGAAGAGAAGCTGCCTGCATTTTGTTTGACTTGCCATTTCTTTCTTTCTTAATCCTCACCCGAGGACATTTTTACATTAATCTTCAGATAGAGCTGGAGGAAAAGGGAGGAAGAGAGAGAGAGAGAAACATCGATGTGAGAGAGACACATCGACTGGTTGCCACCCGCACAACCCCAACCAGGGCCAAGGATGAACCGCAACTGAGGTACGTGCCCTTGGCCAGAATTGAACCCAGGACTCTTTGGTCTGCAGGCGTTGCTCTTACCACTAGCGAGCCATACCGGCCAGGGTCGACTTGCTAGTTCTTATGCAGGGAGAGGGACTGAGATCATTTGATCACCAGATATTTCATCCTTAAACGGGCAGTGGTTTGTTAACATAATAACAGAGACCCTGCGTTGGGCCTTGTTGGTATCTTATGTAAATAAGACGCTCAAACCACCATTTACTGCATTCACTAAAGGCTACTTGCAATGACCAAGGACTGCCAGCTAGGAACTGGTCTCTCAGTTGGGACACGTGCTCAAAGGAGAACAGAGAGTGTCAAGCTCAAAAACACAAGTATTTTCTAAGGGAATCTTTGGGCTCATAGCAATGGTAGTCTAGTGCTTCTCAAATGGTCTTTTCCCCAGAGGGTACCCAGGAGCACTTCAATCGAAAGCAGGTCTTTGTGACACTATCACCCCCAAGAAACTGTAGACTTTTGCTTACAACAATGAAAAAGCCTAATAGACTTTGAAAACAATGCCTATACAATGAAGGCAAAAGGTCCTATGCTATGCCTGTTATACAGGCATGCGTGCACGCACACACACAACGTGTTAAAGCATTTGGAGTTTTCTCCATCACAACTGTCAAGTTCATAAAAGACACAAATCAGGATGCAGGTGTTGTCTGTGCTAACACCCTATAAAAGAAATGAACAGAGCTTCAGCTGCTCCTGAATGCTCTCCCGACTTGGAATTTGCCAGACCTGCAATATTAACATAGAATTATGGAAATTGGAAACAAAAAGCTGGAGTCTACTGGGAACGAGAGGCTCAGGATGAACTCAACTGGAAAATTTGGCTAACTAAAAGCGACATCCTTTGTGCTGGAATTTTTCTGTCTGAAAGCTTTTAAAAAGGCTGTAATTATTTTGAGTTTTCAATTCATCCCTTTCAAACTAAGCTTTTTATTTTCTTTGTTGCTCTGTACCTTTCCTCTGTGTGAATTCGGGTGTTTGCCAAGCACTAAAGTGGTAAATTCATATTGGTTGTATACACATATACATTTCCAGGGAATCATAAGCAACACAACTTTTGCATCCTCTATGCCAAGAAAAACAAAAGGATATTTGTACACCAAAACCTTTATCTTGTGCACAGGCTCAAAATACCTGAGCATGACCAAATAAATCACCCAAGAAGAAATTGCTGATTGAGGTCAATGAATAATTTCTTTGCAAGTTAGTACTTTTTCTGCACCGTGAATCTAAGGAATGTAAGAACTTAGACTCACCTCGTGGCTTTTGGGTCCCAAATCACAATGTCAGCATCTGATCCTACAGCTATTCTTCCTTTTCTTGGATAGAGATTAAAGATTTTAGCTGCATTTGTGCTGGTAACTGCCACAAATCGGTTTTCGTCCATTTTACCACTGTGCTGCAAAACCAGGAAAAAATGCATTTGGTCTAATGACCAATATTTTAAAATTGCCTATCAACCAAAGTATAAAACTTGTATCCCTCAGAACCAAGTAGAATTGCATTTAATTTCTTATATTGTGGAGCTAAACACATCTCATAATGATATAAGTGGGGATGAGGGGGTAACATATGGGAGCCCAAAGATAACTTTTCAAAAATACATCAGCTTAAAAATATATATTTCCATTATTTTTTTTCCATCCTTCTCAGAATCAAATAGACAACAGCTAAATGTTAGCAGTGGTATTTCTAATTCTCGTTTCATGTTTACCACCACCACCTACTACATTTATAATCTGGCTTAATTATTGTGGACCAAAGATATATGAGTGATCATGCAGATATTAGATGGGATATTATAGAGTTAGGGTAAGACAGACTTTTAAATTGGGTGACAATACTTTTTGAAAGAGCAAGAATCAGCTCAAGAGTTTCAATTTTGTGCAATTAATTTTACATGAGCCAACAATTATGGACAGTATAATTCAAAAGATTTTTAAGTGGACATAGAGGGCTGTGATCCCATTAAAATTAATTTTTTTAATGTTGAGAGTTTATCTCTATATACATTTATAAAGTAAAAGCATCCTTAAGGTTTATTTCATTATCAAAGATTCCCTGTCTCAAAAAAACTTAAACCCAGCTGGGCTGGCTCAGTTGGTTGAGCGCTGTCCCATGCACCAGGAGGTCGCCAGTTCAATTCCCAGTCAGAGCACACGCCCAGGTTGTAGGCTTGATCCCCATTAGGGGACGTGCAGGAGGCAGCTGATGTTTCTCTCTCATTGATGTTTCTGTCTCTCTCCCTCTCCCTTCCTCTCTCTGAAATCAATTTAAAAAATAAAAATTAAGAATTATATCCTGAAAGTAATATTCCCATAAGTAAATCATCTTTTTTTTTTCATCCTCACCCAAGGACATTCTTCGATATTTTGTTCAGATAGAGTGGGTGGGAGAGAGAGAGAGAAAAACATTGACAAAAGGGACACATTGAGTGACTGCCACCCACACGACCCAACCAGGGTCGGGGACAAACTGCAACCGAGGTACGTGCCCTTAGCGGGAACTGAACCCAGGTCTCTCTGGACCGCAGGCCGATGCTCTAACCACTGAGCCAAACTGGCCAGGGCAAGTAAATCATCTTAATGTTTCAGAAAATAACATTGTTCCTTATATAATACTAAGAAATATTCAATCACTTTAAAGCCACTCATACACTTGGGAAATGTAATAGATTATAAAAACCTGCTATAATAAAGATACTCATTGTAATAACATAAGTTCTAAGAGAAAGGTTGGACTGTTATCAAGAAAACCTAAGAAAAAAAACCAGAAGAGAAGTCATCCGGGATGGTTACAGTCAGGGCATAGAATAAGGGTGGGGGTGAAGAGGATGTGCTGAAAGACAAGGCTATCGAGTTGTTTTAAAGATCCTTACAGGTATATTAATTATTCAAATAGCATCCTATAAGTAATGGAGAAAAAGAAAGGGTTTTAGAGAGGAAAGTAGCATGAACAGACCTTCGTTGATGAAAGGCCACTCTGGTCCTGGGGTACAGTATGGAATAGATTGTAGCAAGCAAGGCTGGAGGCATGAACACCAGCTGTGGGGACTACTGCAACAGTCCAAACAACAGATGGGCCTCTAGCGAGGGTGGCAGACGTGACGATGGAAATAACATTGACAAGATCTGGTAGCTGATTAGAGGTAGAAGTGAGTGGTGCCGGTAGGGATTCTGAGGAATGAGACGTGAATAATGCATCATCTAAGGGAGGGCCTCTAGCAGAAGGGTGAGAACGGCACGAAAATGGGGACCCAGGTCTGACCAGGCAGGTGTCCCCTGCTGACCTTTACAACTGCACATCCAACTGGCTAGGCAGGTCAACATGTGAACATGTAGCCGTTTGATTCTTCTCCATCCTCAGGGACAAATTTTAACTCATGGGAATTTTAAAAAATCTTTTTCTAGACTTTAAATTATTATTTATGTGCCCTCACACAGCTGTTTTTAAAATACAACATCCAGGGGTTCTTAAAAAGAGACATCTACAAATATTTCATAAAAAGGAATTATAAACATAATAAAAATTCTTCACTGTAATTTTGATCATTCCAAGAATTTATATCGGTGACACATGAGCTGGGATTCAAGAACGTGAGAAATCAAGTAGAAAGGCTACATTTCAAAGACTTCAAGAATCTACACCAGCACTCAATCTAAATTCATCTCCTAATGTGTGCAAATGGTGCAACGCATCCTCTCGACAAACCTCACAGAGAAGGAAATCATGTCTTACTATTATGCGGGGGCACAGGGTGATGGTGGTGTAGCCTCCTAATCTCCATATAGTAAAACAAGAAGTACAATAGCTTCTCTGGGAAGGTTACAGCACACAAGTCCTGAAAAAACAGGATCCTGGCCAAACGAGTAGGCAAAACAGGCCAGATCTTGCACAACTCACCACGCCTTTTTCCCATATCACTGACATCCGGTCCTCAACACCATTCACACCGTTGGGAATCTTGGTAAAATCATCCTTCCCAAGAGCTTTCTGGCAGGTGTTGAAAGTGCAGTTGTCAGTCCCTGTTGTGGTTAGATCACCACTGTAAAGGATAAACACACCTACCTGAATGATGGGGGTCAGTAGGTAGAACAGGTCAAGAGGAAACCACCATAACCTTCCCTAACTTCCTGCCTCCCTTCTCAGCTGAGTGTCCGAAAACTGCAGTGGGAAAGAGCAGCTTCCTCACGGACACTCTCCTCCTAGGAGGCACGACTGGAGAACACCCCGGCAAGACGCATGGTGACACGTTCTAGGCTGTTCCATCACTTATGGGTTCTGTGATTACAAGCTTGTCCACTGCTCAGTTTCTCATCTAGAAATTGATAGTTATATGTACTTGATGACACTTATTTCAGAATCATTGGCAACAATGCAAGTAAAACTCCTTGTGAGCAGAGTACTACACAAAGATGTACCATGGTGATCCACAGGAACAGAGGCAGGTCCTCTAGGGCGGCCCCTGGCCTAATGGGGACGTTGTGATGAGCAGAGATAGGACATTAGCTGATGATATTGATGTCCCCAGCGACAGGAATCCTGCTTTGACTTCCGAATAATCTTGGGGATGTAGAAGTGTCAAGGAGGCAGGAGGCAGAAAGGAAAGGGAAGTGAACTCTTATATGGTTTGTTGCAAAAGGCTCTTTGTTGACTGGGATATGAGAATCTGTGGATGGGGAGAGTCCGGATGCCCATGAATGGTGTAATTCTCAAAAAGAAAAGATCATAATGTCCTAGAAAGTGGTGTCTCTAAAAATAGTTTGGCTGGCCTTCCATGGGGATCACTACTCAAGGGCAGGATTTTGCCTTTCCACCCCTACAATGGTTCTGCCCTCAATTGTAACCTATTGTACCCATACAACAGGTATGCCTGGCTCCCAGTTTATATCAGCCTAGAAAAAAATTCATGAGTATTCTGAATGATAAAAATAAAACATAATAAAGAGACCTGGCTCCAGGCGATAAGAGATAGAAAAGACATGGAAAAAATCAGAAAAGAGTAAAATTTCTGTAAAAACGATCTGATTTTTCTGTATCCAGGAGAGATTTTGACACTACTTCATAACATAATTAAGCCAATGCTTTTTGGTCTCCAGGTAAGGGACAGTCCCCAGAGCCTCTCAGATCAAGTAGAACAGAATACTAGGAAGTCAGTGGAAGGTGCAGATGGTAAAAAAGATCTCCTACATTCAAACCTGAGTCTTGTAAAACACCTTATTTTGGCAAAACAGTTCACAATCATGTGCTAAATGATTACTTAGCCAATAGATTCATGAGGTAGTCAGGAGTTGAAGGGTCTGGTCTCAAAGGTGGTCCCATAACATGGTGGGCTGCATGGTGCCAGTCTTTATTCCAGTAGTGAGTGCCATCTGTGCCCAGACTTGCTGCTATGGGTTCTCCATAGACCACCTTCCCTGGAAAGTTAAAAGGAAGTATTCAGCACCTTAATTTGTTCTTAGAAGAATCATATGACAAACACATAAATATGAGTCTCTTTTATCTTAGTAAAGGATAACATGAATCCTAAACCCTTAGTGAGCAGGATTTAAAATAAAAACTACTTTTTATTGAGCATTTACTATGTTCCAATCAGTATGCATTGCATGTTATGGTAGATGACTATACCCACTCACTGATATCAGACTTGGCCACATGGTTTACTTTGGTCCATTAAATATGGATGGAAGTGACATGTGCTGCTTCCAGGCAGGAGTTGTTATATCCACAATGTGTTCTGCCATCCCCATTTTCCCTCTGTCGTGAGACCAGCAGGGGCTGCTCCTTCAGTCGTGTCTCAGACTGAATAGGATATAGAGCAGAGGTAGAGCCAACCCTTGATGGACATGAGTATGAATGAGAAATGAACTCTGTAGTTGTAAGCCAATAATATTTTGGATTCATTTATTACTGCACTATAACCTAGTAAAGCTAGTTGGTATATCTGCTATTCTAATGAAATCTTCTCAACACCCTATATAGGAAATGCTACTATCTCCATTAAAAGATGAAGACAGGGTTGATGGGGTTAAATAACTTCTCTACAGTTACATTACATGCATGTGATATAGACGGAGTGCAGGAGGTAGGATTTGAGTCCAGGCATTTTGACTCCAGTGGTCCTAACGTCTGTGCTACTACCCTGATGACAATTATCATATGGTCATATGGAGTTCAACCTCAGTGTATCTTTGCTGCAAATAGATTGATAATCTTATACACCCTTAAGAGAAAAAAAAAGCATCCTCTAAAAACATATTAAGTAAAAGAACGCTCAGATAAAATTGTAGCCAGAAATGCATATTTTAAAAATCATGCAAATGAGGCCATCAAAGGCTCACACAATGTTAGAAAAGTTAATAGTGCAAGTGAATTTGAATTTAAAATCAGAATCCTATCTCTGATTAGCATTTGTCAGAATAATAGCCTCCCTGGCATCCACCTGATCATATCCAAGGAGTCATAAAGGAGAGTGCATAGTAAAGAGATGTTGGCATACCAAATTAGTTCACTCTGGTTAATCAGATGCCAGATTTTGGTTAACATCCTGATATATAACTGAAATTAACTGATTTCCTCAGGGAGTACTGACAGTGGATGGCCACCAGCTGCCTGCGTCCTATCAAATTGGAATGTAGCACCCTATCATCTCACAGATCATTTCTCCCTCAGACCAGCCACTGTCCTCTAGCTAGCCTAGGAATTTGGAAAACCAGGAAAGCAAGGCTCATTGAAGCCTAACAAACTTTGCTTCTGAAGGAACCAAGTATCAGACGGTGATCAATAAAAGTTACCCGCCCCCCCCCCCAAAGGACTTAGCCACTGCTAAGATCCTTTGCTTTATGATACACACACACTAGGTGAATCCCATCCCCCTCCTGTTTGTCACTGTTCTAGTTCTGGAAAAGGTGAAATACCATTAATATCTTTTTGTGGTGTGTAAAACAAGCAATCATTTTAAATCTAAACTAAGAGGCAACGTGTTATTTGCTGGAGAGATAATGGGATGGGCGCAGCATTTTATGTGCAGTTATGAGGAGACCTTTCTGTTCCAAGAGAACTTTCTACAGATGCGTAGACAATGAGAAACTTAGAGACTTGATCAGCAATCACTTGACAAGTTGCCAACTCAGGAGTTTCCATGGTGCTTCATCATAGAGAAAAGGTCCTTATCACATGTTCTATTCAATCATTCGGCCCATCAAGGTGATGTGGGAATACTGTTCCAAAAGTTCTACAATTTTAATAGTGCTCAGGAAATATTAAAAGTGGCAGCTTCTACCAGGAATCTGCCAGGACTGTTTCGAAACCAGATAACAGGTAATTTCCTCGGAAGGGCTTAGCTCCTTTAAAATGTGACAGCTGCTTTTTGGTATATACAGCAAGCTCTTTGTTAGCTGGGCTATTTTCAACTGTCTCTCCATTAAGCAACTGTAAATATAAAAAACTGAAAACTGAAAGCGTGAAAATCCTTAGCCGCTCTTCCCCTATTTTACAACGGTTCTGGACATTTTCGAGGGACTAAACAGCATGCAAGAAGTACAGAGGGCAGGAAACAAGGGGCTGGATAAGCCATACATTGTAGAGTCCAACCAGACAATTCAGCATAATCGTGGGTTGTGTTAGATTTGAGCTAAAAATAAAGTCGTAATAAAGATAGCTGATATATGGAGAGCACTCTATAGTTTGCAAATATAGTTTGAAGGTCATATATCTCATTTGCCCTACACGGTAGCCCTCATGCTGGTTTGGCAATAAACTGACATTCAATGAGACTACCTAAACTGCCCCAAACACAGGAGTGGTAAGTGGTACACCAGAATTAGAGTCTTGGTACTCTGCTAGCATATCATGCATATGTGTGATGCTACTAGGAAAAGTGTCATTTTTCAATTCTTGGTAAAGACGGTGTATTTTTTTAATGTTTTCTTTTTTGTTGTTATTGTTCTTTTTTAAAAATGGAATTTATTGGGGTGATGGTGGTTAATAAAACTATACAAGTTTCAAGTGTACAACTCCATAATACATCATCTGCACACTGCATTGTGTGCTCACCACCCAAAGTGAAGTCTCATTCCGCCCCCATTTATCCCCTCTTTGCCCTCTCCCATCTCCCCCTACCCATACACCCCTTTCCCTCTGGCAATCACTGCACTGTTGTCTGTGTCTGATTTTTTTTTTTTCTTAATCCCATCACATTTTTTCCCAACCCCTCTCCCCTCTAACAGCTGTCAGTGTGTTCTATGTATCTATGAGTCTGTTTCTATTTTGTTTGTTAGTTACTTTGTTCATTAGATTCCACATATAAGTGAAATCATATGGTATTTGTCCTTTTCTGATTGGCTTATTTCACTTAGCACAATTCTCCCCAGGTCCATCCATGTTGTTGCAAAGGGTAAGAGTTCCTTCTTTTTCGTGGCCAAGTAGTATTCCATTGTGTAAATGTACCACAGTGTTTTTAACCACTCATCTATTGATGGGCAATTGGGCTACCTCCAAATCTTGGCTATTGTAAATAACACTAAGAGCATGTATTTTTAAATGTTTAAGTCAACCATGAGCTATTTGTGGATGTGGTTAAGCAATTTTCCAATTGCACTTCCTGATTTCATTTACTCCTCTTAGCAGGTTGGTAATGAAAAGTGCTATAACTGTCCTGTCTGGTACCTCCTGATTACATTCAAAATCAGAAAGCTTCAACAACTCTCAGGAGATAGTACATCTTTACCATTAATCTTCTCCCACTATCTCAGCAAGTTTCCCAGTATGTTGTATCCGGTCTCCCCATACATGTTCTCTCCTTCTTCCTCCATCTTTTGGCTTAAAACCAAAAAGACTCTGCACTTACGATGCAATCTCCTGCTTATAGGAGTTCTTCCCTCTGAGAGATTCTAAACATTCTCAAATAATGAAACGTGTCAAAACAATCTAAACTCCCTCCTGACCAGACAACCCATTAATTAGAGGAGAGTGAAGGAACGGGTGTTTACACCTTGTCTGGAGTTGGGAGCAGCACTGAATCCAGTCCTGGGACCTGTCAGGGCAGGTCAAGAGACACAGAGACTCGGGTGTAGGTGCTGGGAGGCCACAGTGGCTACCACAGAGCTGAACACATTTACGAAAATAATTGTTTCTAGCTAGAAGGGTTTGTTTTGATTGAAAATATTACATTTACAAAGGAAGACACTAATTGAGAAGGAAAATACACAGAAGTAGCACAATAGAGTAGATCACACAGGTTTAGGTTCAAATTCTGATTTTGCTACTTTTTAGTTGGTGACCTTGTACAAGGTGATCCTTGCTCTTAGTCTCAGTTTTTCTCATCTATGAAATAGGATCACAATGTCTTTCTAGTGTGGCAATATTGTAAGGATCAAATAAATTAATATATCTGAAAGTATCTCGCATCTTCCTAGGACTGTGGGGTCACTTCATGATTTGGACTGAATTATGTCCCTTGACAAAATTCAAATGTTAAAGCCCTAGCCCCCAGTATCTCAGAATGTGACTGTATTTGAAGATAGGGTCCTTTACAGAGTAATTATGTTAAAACAGGGTCATTAGTGTGAGTCTTAGTTCAATATGACTGGAGTCCTTATAAAAAGAGGAAATGTGTGCTCAGCATGGAGGGACCTGGAAAGTATTATCCTAAGCAAAACAAGCTAAACAGAGAAAGACAAATATCATCTGACTCACTTATCTGTGGAATATAATGAACATAACAGTCTGAGGAACAGGGTAGTCCCAGAGACGTGGAAGTGGGGTACAGACTGACAATTCCCAGAAGAGGAGGTAGTGGGGAGAGATAAACCACAGAACGTATATGCATGTGTGCATGAACAATGGACATGGACAACAAAGCTGGGGACAGGGCGGGGAGGGGGGGAGGGGGGAATCAGTGGGGGGGGAGAGAAACATCTGTAACAAAAATAAATAAATTAATTTAAAAAAAAAAAAGAGGAAATGTGGATATAGACACTATTTGAAGACACGGAAAGAAGACAGTCATGTAGAAATTAAGGACCGAGGCCTGGGACACATCCTTTCTTCTCAGAGAGAACCATCCTTGCCAACACCTTGATCTCAAACTTCTAGATTCCAGAATTGTGAGAAAATACATTTGTGTTGTTTAAGGCACCCAGCAGCCCCGGCCAACTAATACAAGCCAAACTGTTAGCTTCCTTAGGTCACACCATCTACTTTCCACAAAGTGTTTACATGATCAGTGTTCAACTCCTCTGCAGCTGGGCATGAGGTAAATCATCTTGCTCTGAAGTTAAAAGACAAGGGGGTATTCAGACATTCAGGTACAAGAAAGGAGAAAGGAAGCCTGAGATTTAAATCTACGTGACTCAGCCGCACAGTAGCGCTTGCGTAGGAACAGCACTGTTCCCAAGCATCCGTTCATCACACTCGT